TCGTATTTGCGGTTCTCCCCAATACACAGACATTTTTTATACTGTGCAGATGCTCAAAATTTTAGTATGCCTAACTGTTCATACTGGGACTTATTTCATTATGATAGATATCAAGTGTGCGTATGGAAGAGAGGCCTGGATATTGCAGGGATTCGGCAGAGGCACGTTTGATAGATATCAAGTGTGCGTATGGAAGATTCGGCAGAGGCACGCTGTAGTTCCCTCCTGTGGCTAGGCCACTTGGTATCAAACTGATAGGCAGGATCCACCTCCCATGGTTCTCCAAACATAGTACTTTCCCCCTAAAAGTTGGAGGTGGTGAAAAGTGCCATCAAGTTACAGCCAACTTAGGGCAGCCCCATAGGGTTTTCAAGGCAAGTGACATTTAGAGGTGGTTTGCCATTGCCATTGCCTCTGGACATCCAAGTACTAACTAGGGCCAACCCTGCTAAGCTTCCAAGTCCTGATAAGATTGGGCTCCCCTATAAGGTAGTGGCAATCATTCATTTATAAGGAAAAAAGGAAAGGTGTGCACTAAGGGGTACTAATGGGGGCTAGCTTCGCTTTGCCTCCTCTCAATCCTGTCTCAGATAGCAGTATGCTTACTTCATCTAATAGACAGTTCCTATATGCCAGTTTGGTGTAGTGGTGAGGAGCCAGGTTGGAGTAGTGGTTAGGAGTATGGACTCTAATCTGGGAGAACTGGGTTTGATTCCCCACGCCTCCACATGCAGCTGGTGGCATAACCTTGGGTCAGTCACAAGTTCTCTCCAAGCTGTTATCTCAAGAACAGTCCCCAAAAGAGCTCTCTCAGCCCCACCTACCTCACAGGTTGTCTTTTGTGGGGAGGGGAAGGGAAAGGGGATTGTAAGCCACTCTGAGACTCCAAGTGAAGGGCAGGGTATAAATCCAATCTCCTCTTCCTCTTCTTCCTCTACGAAGGACTGCCTTGACTTCCATTTATTGGTCAGTCTTGTGTGTAACACAAGGGTGCAACAGAAACTTGGGAATTAACATTATTCGTTCCCAGTGTGATGTAGTGGTTGGAGGGTTGAACTAGGATCTGGGAGACTCAGGTATGAACTCCCACTTTGCCAGGTAAGCTCCTTGAGTGACCTTGGGCCAGTTACCGGTACACACTCTCAGAGCACTTTCCCACATGCTGAATAATGCACTTTGCAACTGGTTTTTACTCTACGAAATGGCAAAATCCTCTTACAAATGGTCTCTAAAGTGTATTGAAAATGGATCGATAGGGTATTATTCAGCATGGGGGAAAGCACCATCAGTCTAACCTACCTTATAGGGTTGCTGAGTGGATAAAATGCTGGAAAGGAGAATGATATGAGCTGCTTTGGATCCTCGTTGAACAGGAAGATGGGGTATAAATGAATAAATTATACATCTGATGTCCTGGGGTCAGGCTCTACCACTGAAAATAGCTTTTGAGATAGAATTAATCGAATCCCCGCTGGTTACTAGGCCACATTAGAGAATTTTAAAACAAAATTCTGAATATAGAATTAAATTTTCCTGCAAAATTCAGAGCATAGGAATCCATTTAACTTGCTTTGATACATATTAAATTAAGCACTTCTCTAGCTGTAGAACCTCCTTCCACACAATCTTTATGTCATTTTCTGTAAGAAAAGATTCTGTGTCAACCTAGATATTGCAGAAGCCAGCAAAACAAGATTATGTTGAGCAACTCTTTCCAGGAGCATTGGTGGCAACATATTCTATCCCCCTGACGGCTGTGCATCCTATAAATCTCATAGTTTGGTTTGTGGTAGCAGGTTCATCTGTATTCCATTCAGGTCCAGTTCCAGGTTTGGGGGAGACCCTGGGCAGACTGTGTCCAGGGCTTCCCTCTGCTTCTCTGCTCACCACCAGGAATCCTGCTCATACCTCCCTTCCTACTTATATGTCCCCATCCACCTACCCATGCATACTTCTCGCACCCACGAGCCCTCCCTGCCATCCACAAAGCAGCCCACACTGTCCACGTGCCACTGTATGGCATGCTTGACTGGTACCATTGCTGTATGATGACAATTGCTGCAATAAATGGGACCAAAGTAGGCAATGTGGTCATGTAGTAATAATTTACCTCACATGCTGTGGTGGTGATAAAGAAGCATTGCTTCATTCTGGAGCTATTTTCACCAACGAATATTTTCTCAAGCTTCTTATTCTGGATTAGTCACCTTACTTGGTAACAGGTTCACCTGTGATAAGAATGGGAAAGCTACATGGCAATGTAGGCAGCTGGATGTGTTTGCATGATCAGTTACTGAAAGTACTGTTTCAGAATGTCACGTTCCTGTTCAGTCATAAGGACATCCCAGTATGAATTATTATTTAGATATCTCTTCCATCAGGCTTTTGGTTGAGGTGGCGGGCGCCCCCTCTTTGTGGCCAACCCCACCAGCGGATTGGACCCTAACATCTTAAATCTTCCACCACTGTTGATATGGTTCTATCAGAGCTGACATGGTACTTAGGAATATGGCATTTTATACTGTTTTTTTTAAAATTTGGTTTTAACTGTGTTGTATTTTACATTGTTGTTACCCGCCCTGAGCCCACCTGCGGGGAGGGCGGGATATAAATCCAAATAACTAAATAACTAAATAAGAATATTAACAATGACATTGCAATGCAGGTGGTCTGTATTCCACAACAGACTAATCTCCAACAGAAGGTAGCAGTTCTGTTTGCAGAAGAGGGGGTGGTGATTCCCACTGCAGACCACTACTTTACCCCCTGTGTGGTTATTCAGAGTCTACTGACACCCCCCCCGACCAATTTTTCAAGGGTCTCAGTTGCAGCAGGAGGGGGAAGAAGGATAGTTCCATTCTGTAGTATCACTTTCTCCAGTTAGATCGTGGGATCTGTAAGATTTGTCTCCTTTGTCATGGAAGGAAGCATACGACATTGCACCCATATGGGGAAAAATGTGCAAATGTTGTTTTACAACAAAATGGCATTATGGCCACAGATATTATAAAACATATGCAATAATGTGAATTGCTATAGTAACCATTGCTATAGCATGTAGTATAAATTTAAAAGACAGAGGATTACCCAAAGTCCAGATGTACCTCTTGGTAAAGTAGTGAGGATTTAGTGATGGAGAATGATGGAAACTTTTATGTAATGTTAAAAGTTTGCATGTTGTTTCAGTGCTAAGCTGATCAAATAAAATCTAGCACCTTGGGAATTAAAAAAAAATCTTACTTTTTTTCTCTTTCAGCCAGAAATTACTTGAGGCATTGCTAAGTTTTATCTGCTACCTAAATATCACTTCTCATTAAATCTGTTACATTAGATATTTTCTGCACTTCTGGCTGCTTTTAAAAACAATTAACAAAGCTTTCAGAATCTGTGGGAAGAAATGTAATAGACTTTTATCATAGATTGTCTTCAAAGGATCTATAATTATATTTGTCTTTCATTATGGGCAGCCGTTTCAGCCTGCAAAACAAGATCATCTCTCCCTGAGACCAGACCACAGAGTCAGTCAATGGGTGACTAACTCTTCAGAGCAGCAAAGGTAATGCAACAATTTTACTTTTCTCTTTTGTTAATTGTATATCCCAAGAATGAAGGTTGTATCTCAGGTAAAAAGACTGACATCATTGCATTAATTAAAAATGAGGAAGGCAAAGCACCCAGTTGGATCAGATCTTATTTGGAACTGACATAGATACACCAATTGCAATTATTTTGTTTTAATTACAAAAAGGGTTATAGAAGTGTTATATGGTTATATAGATAAATTAGATTTCACCATCTGTTTACTACTATTTCCCTGCTCTTGGATGATAGGGGAAGACTGAAAAAACTTTAAAGGAAGTCAAAATAACTGATCTTGGAAAAATAAGAGTAAATCCTTAGGCATTTGCTATATTTAGGTTACAGAAATCTTACACGTTGATATACAAGCTTCCAACATGCCCTTGAATCTTCCTGAGAAAGCATAAACAGCTGACAGGGAACCAAATCCAGATGAATTCAGACTTAAGAACAAGTATAAGGGGCATGTAAACTGTGCTATCTAACAGTAGAGCCATTAGGTTGGAGTATACAGAGATTAAACATTTACTTTAATCCACAGATGTATGCCATACTTTTGACTGTCATATTGGCTTCTATGCAGCTGCTTGGTTCTGAAGATTTAGGGGCACTTCTGTGTTTGGAAGAGGAGATGGGATGGTTTACATTGATTCCCCCTGCAGACTTCCGCTTTCCCATTCGAAAATGTAAAGTCATTATTTTTATGATTTTGTCTGTTTTGCTTTTTTGTGTCAATCAGCAGGTTTTCATCTACGGACAGATTTGGGTGTAAATCTTTACCCAGACTGTGGATTTGATAAAACGTACTGTTGTTGGAGATACAATTTTTAAGGTAAATAAAATGTTTTCCTATTTCTTGTATACATAAAGGGTCATGCGGCCATTCATTCACAGTTAACTTCATATTGCTTATGACTTCACTTTGTTGTAGAATTCCTGCCCCTTTGGGTTTTTTTCCCTTTTGGTGAGTGTTTGTGTGTGTGCGCTTGTGTGCCTGGAAGTCATGGTTGACTTCTGGAGACCCCTAGTGGGGCTTGGACATTTCAGAGAGGTGGCTTGCTATTGCATGCCTCTGCATCCCAGCCCTGGTATTCCTTGGAGGTCTCCCATCCAACTACTTGCCAGGGTTGGCTTAGCTTCTGCTTAGATTCTGAGATCTGAAAATATCAGACTTGCCTGGGCTATCCAGGTCAGGGCCCTACCCTTTCATTCTGTACTGCATCCAAAACCACCTTTTCTCCTGCTCACAGGAAGATCATTAGTTGAGAACAGGTGTTTAACAAAATCTGTCCCAGCATCAGTTGGGTGCATAGAAGACAGCAGAATAATTGTTCCTGCTTTTCCAAAGATGTGGCTCCTCACCTGCATCCCTGCGCTTAAATGGTCAACTCCCCCCCCCCTTTTCCTTTCAGACGGAAAAAATGTCTGCTGATGAGGAGTGGTCTTCAGTTGAAGATGACGGTCAAGCATCTAAACTGGCCAGAAAAGCCCGGGATGCCCCCTTTGTTCCCATTGGTGAGTTGAATAATTAAGCACATCAAGAAGTGGTAGTTAGGTTCAAGTGACAGCTGGGCTTTGGACTGTTGGCAGAATCTGATGCTATATTATGCCCAAGAATGACATGGGGCAGTAGCCCTAATTCTGCTGTGTCCCCAACAGTCTGCTTTTCTGGGGTAGGGAGAAAAACCATGTTCTGCAGTGAAGTGATGCAGGTAAAACCCCATTAATTACCCTACAGGAACACTCACATGTATTCATCATGTATGCATATTCATAAGTTCAGTCTTCTTGATCAGGGCCAGTATTTAGTAACATTTTCCTTTATTCCCTTTCTTAGAAGTAGCCTGCTTTTAGAATCATGACAGATTATTTATTTTGTTAGGTTCAAGTGACAGCTGGGCTTTGGGCTGTTGGCAGCATCTGATGCTATATGCCCAAGAATGACATGGGGCAGTAGCTCTAATTCTGCTGTGTCCCCAACAGTCTGGTTTTCTGGGGTAGGGAGAAAAACCATGTTCTGCAGTGAAGTGATGCAGGTAAAACCCCATTAATTACCCTACAGGAACACTCACATGTATTCATCATGTTATCCGAGTTAGTGGCTGTATCTTCTTCTCAGCTTTCAGATCTTTGTTGGGTCCTTTCACTGTAAAAGTGCAACCATATTTGCGTCTACACTTACAAATGCAGTAAATAGGTAAATAAATGCCGTTCCTGATGCTAGATGAGCTTCATTGGTTTGTGTTCCAGCCTTACCCAGGATGGCCCAGGCTAGCCTAATCTTGTCAGATCTTGAAATATAAGCAGGGCTGGCCCTGGTTAGTTCTTGGATGGGAGACGACGACCAAGGAAGTCCAGGACTGCTACACAGAGCCAGGCAGTGGCAAACCATTTATGTTCTTCTCATGCCTTGAAAACCCTATGAGGTTGCCATAAATAGGCTGCGACTTGACGGCACCTTTCCACCACCAGGTTTTCCACATCTAGATGAGCCTCACTGGTGTATATTCTGGCCTGTGGGCAGATGTCCAGGCTAGCCTAATCTTGTCAGATCTTGAAATATAAGCAGGGCTGGCCCTGGTTAGTTCTTGGATGGGAGATGACCAAGGAAGTCCAGGACTCTTCTCATGCCTTGAAAACCCTATGAGGTTGCCATAAATAGGCTGCAACTTGATGGCACCTTTCCACCACCAGGTTTTCCACATCTAGATGAGCCTCACTGGTGTATATTCTGGCCTGTGGGCAGATGTAGCCTCTGAACCAAGAGCCTGACTGGATCACACCTAAAGTCAATCTAGTCCAGCATCCCATTCGCTCAACAGCTGCCCACTAGAAGCCCCCAGAAAGCCCACAAGCAGGGCAAGAAGGCAATTGACTTCCTCCACTATTGCTCCGCAGCAACTGATACGGATCCAACTATCATAGCTAAGAGCCATTGATGGATTGATCTGCCACAAATTTGTCTTATCCTCTTTTAAAGTTATCTGAGTTAGCCGCTGTATCTGGCCCCCACTGGCTCTGTCAAGTTTTCAGCACTTGCTCACAGCTTCAGTTTTAAGTAAATGATGTGCTTATTTCATATGAGGGTTTTTTTGTATAAATATCTCATATGACTTCAGAAGTCAAAGGATCAATACTAATTTTTCTCTTAACTGGCAATAAGGTCCCCCCCCAGATGATCCAATATCAGCTGGGCACCATGTGAACTGTAACCCTTTATTGCTGCTGTCACTAGATTTACTATAAAGCTTTGGGTGGGGGTATTTTTTTGTATTTTTCATGTGTGCATGTGTGTGCACCTGGAAATCATGGCGACCTCTGGTGACTGACCCCTACTGGGGGCCCGTGGGATATTCAGAGAGGTGGCTGAATAAAGCCTGCCCCCACCTCCCGCCTCTGGTATTCCAAGGAGGTCTCCCATCCAAGTACTTGACAGAGTCGACCCTACTTAGCTTCTGAGATCTGGTGAGGCTGGCCTTGCCTGTGCTATCCAGGTTAAGGCGATTTACTATAGAGCTTGATCATTCACTGGTGTGTGGGGGTGTCAGAAGGTTCCAGATCTCTAAATATATCTGGAGATCAGGGTGGCCCTGAGGATGCAGAAGCTGGCTGTCCCAGCCCTAACCAACAGGCACAAAATGTGATAGGCTTGGTTTCCACATCCATCTTGGACTTGCACAATCTTTTTAAAAAATCAGTACAGTTCAAAAGACACGTAAACAACATGTTGACTATTAGGGTTTTCTTTTTAAAATTTTGCCCACATGGAGGGAGGAAAGCAGAAGCCTTGAAAGCTGTCACCAATCAACCTTCATTAGTCTTCCTCCCCATTTATCAGCTCAGCCAGAAGCGTATCAGAACAGAGCCCTTCCCTGAATTTAAAGTGATTTGTACAGGCAGTGCTCATGAACAAAGGCTAATTTGTATGCACTGTCGCCAATTAAGCTGGCTGGAATGAAAGCGCTTGCCTTCTCAGACCACGTTTGTAGTCCAAAGATAAAAAAGAAACGTCATAGTGTTGAATTTATGTCTCCAAAAACATAGAAGAAACAAAAAAAGCCATTTACATCACCCAACTAATCTTCTGAGAGCAAGCCAGTTGACAAAAAGGAGCTCGACATATCTGGATGTCACTTCATAACAAAATAAATAAACAAATCTGGATTCAGTGTGTCATTAAAGTTACAACGAATGGCTCTGGGAAGTGAGGTTAGGGAGGCTTCCGATATTCTGCTGACTTGAATTTCTCGGTTCAAGTCCACTGGCACCTTTAACTGGCTCTCAAACTTTGTTCTGCTGCTTCAGACCAACATGGCTACCCACCTGAATCTATCTAATTTGAATTTCACAGTGGATAGTTCTGAAATGAATGTCCGTGTTTCCAAAGTGGAACTGGTGCACTACGAATAGGACTTCTCCATCATTCTTCCCTACTATATGTATATGGCTGGTTTAGCGACCGTAATAAAATTCTACTACTACTACAACATCATTCTTCCCCCTCCCCTTTCCCGAATGTTGTACAAGTTGCTGCGTATGTACAGTTTAGTGCAGCATTCACTTTCATCAGTTTATTTCCTTTTCCTCTTTCAAATACTGATGTGTCCCAAAACAAAGAAACTCTAACCCTACAAAAAAGCATTCTTGATGTGATTGTATGTACAACTGTATCCAGATTCTGTGTGGTGTTTTACCAAGTGTGCAAGAGCAGATGGGGACATCAGTAGAAGACTGCACAGAACAAAAATCTTGATGAAGTTATATGTATGGTCACAGGCAGCTTGCTCTTTTGTAGTGTTTTATCAAGGCACTCCTGGACATTGGTAATGTAATACAGGGAAAAGATGCACATTAAGCTGAACAAATTGAAAGCTATATCAAACTGTACATGAACACATTTCTGAATTAATTTGAGAAATTCTCATGGTTAAACAAAGAGTGAAATATGACACAGAGAGAAATTCTGGCGCAATGAAAAAGCAGAAATCTGCTCATCCCAAAATGAAATAACTAGCTTTTATTTCAGGAAATGAAACATCCTATTGAAACTAAAGGAGCTGGTGTTTATTTATTATTGTTTTAAAACAGGTCCAATAAAAATATGATTAATAATGGATCCAGTATAAACAGAAAATGTGGTGTTATTACCATTTCTATTAGGTAAACACTCATATTATCAAGGGAACGTCTGCATTTAAGGAAGCTGACAAACTGTGGCCGTCTTCTACATCATGTAACATCTTGTAAATTTGTCCAATGTATTAAATCTGCTTAACATAACTGAAACTGCCAAAACTGAATTCCATGAAAAATGTGGGTGCCGACTGCCATGAGAGTCTTTAGAGAACAACTGGTATTGTGCCCCTGTTTTTAAAACCCTGCATTTCACATAGTTTCCCCATAAATTGGTAGATTTATTCTCACACATTTAGAACCTCAGAAGTGAACTCCTTGTTAGTCTCCCCATTTGAATGTCTCTAGCTTTAGTGGAGACAAACTGAAACTGGGAAGTTCTTAAAGCCTTCATTCATCCCATGTATCAGGACGAGAAAGGACTCTAAGGCTATCGAACCCAGTCCTCACTGCAGTGCAAGAACATGAACTGTGTGCTGGAAACAGAGAACATTTCAAACAGATGCCCCAGGACAGATGGAACAAATTTTGAGTCCAGTTGGTACCTTTAAGACCAACAAAGGTTTATTCGAGGTGTGAGCTTTCGTGTGCCTGCACACTTCTTCAGATACATTGACATGGAAGCTTAACAGTTCAAATATATAGGCAGATGCCTCTACATAGGGGAACAGTAAATTAGCATACAACTTAATGGAGATGTTTTGACATATACAAAGACTAAACAGCAGTAACAAGCTAAGTTCATAGGGTCACCATTTGTTTGGAATTAATTAGGGGAGAAAACAGTGAGGCAATAAATATGTCCAAATAGGAGACAGATGTGTAAAAGTATCCTTAATTGTCAAGGGTAATAAACCGATTCTGTTGTTATACACCATTTGTTTCCTCTCAAGCATGGAGTTAATTAACAACATCCTTTCCCCAGAGGTGGGAACAACAGAATCAGTTTATTACCCTTGACAATTAAGGATACTTTTACACATCTATCTCCTATTTCGACATATTTATTGCCTCACTGTTTCCCCCTAGGGTTGCCAAATAGGAAAAACTTACCGGCAGGGGAGCTTCCAATCGCTCCGGGAGCCGGCCGGGGATGTGTGTGCGCGCGTGCTTCCGGAGCATCACCCGGAAGTGACGTCTCACGCTGGGCGGGGCCACGCCATTTGAGGGGGAAACAAAGAGTTTCCCCCTCAAATGGCGTCACCCCGACCCCAGCGTGCGACGTCACTTCTGGGTGACGCACACACGGGGGTGGGGGTTCCCCCGGGCCCCGATTCCGCGGGAGCAGGAATCGGGGCTTGAAACCGGGGGGAATTCTGCCCCCCGGGTGGATTTGGGAACCCTATTTCCCCCTCTAATTAAATCCAAACACATGACCATATGAATTTCGCTTGTTATTGCTGTTTAGTCTTTGTAAATATTAAAACATCTTTTTGTTTTTGGTGGGGTTTTTTGTATTTTGTGTGTGTGTGTGCATGTGTGTCTGCACCTGGAAGTCACGTTGACCTCTGGTGACTGACCCCTACTGGGGGCCTGGAGGATATTCAGAGAGGTGGCTGAATAAAGCCTACCTCTGTCCTCCCGACTTGGTATTCCAAAGAAGTCTCCCATCCAAGTACTAACCACAGTCGACCCTGCTTCGCTTCTGAGATCTGATGAGATCAGGCTTGCCTGGGCTATCCAGGTTAGGGCATGTCAAAACATCTTGATTAAGCTGTACACTAATTTACTGTTTGCCTATGTAGAGGCATCTGCCTATATATTTGAACTGTTAGCTTCCATTTGAAGTGAAGTCTGAAGAAGTGTGCCTGGACACAAAAGCTCATACCTTGAATAAACCTTTGTTGGTCTTAAAGGTGCTACTGGACTCAACATTTGTTCTACTACCTCAGACCAACACGGCTGCCCCACCTGGGTCTGCCCAGCACAGATAGTTCTAGATGACAACAGCAAGTGAACTGAGCCACAAACTACTAAGGAAATGGAAAGGAGCAGCAAAGAAAATCATTAGACAGTGTGTTCTGGGGGGAACATTCCTTCCTGATCCTTGAGAGTGACTCTGCAATGGGGTGGGGCTGTGGCTCAGTGGAAGAGCATCTGTTTTGCATGAAAGAGATCCCAGGTTCAGTCCCCAGCACCTCTAGTTAAAAAAAGGACCAGGTAAGTAGGTGATGAGTAAGAACCGTACCTGAAACCCTGAAAAGCTGGTGGCAGTTCGAGTAGACAATATTGACCGTAAGGCAGTTTCATCTAAGTCGTGTATGCAGAGTCTCACTGAAATAGTTACCAGAATGCATCCAGTATGGGGGCAGGTGAGCTACAAGAAAGGGAAGCAAAGAGGGCCCTATATATGTCATGTATTGATCAGGGAAGTATAGGGAGGTTTATTGCATTTTATCACAACTTCTGACCTGGGACTGTTGAGAGGCAGAGGCCACCCCACAATGGTTCAATAACTTTACCGCACCCTTTAACTTACAGGACTAGCAGGCTGCCTTACTGTGGTGGGTTATGGTCTTTATGGCCACCCCACAATGGTTCAATAACTTTACCCTTCTCTTTAACTTACAGGACTAGCAGGCTGCCTTACTGTGGTGGGTTATGGTCTTTATAAGCTAAAACACAGAGGAAACCAAAAAATGTCAGTCCACCTCATCCACATGAGAGTTGCAGCACAAAGCTTTGTCGTAGGGGCAATCACAATAGGTAAGATGAAGAGTTGCCGTGATCAGCACATTTCCCAGAAACTGGTAGTAAGTAACATCTCCTTTCCCAACCCACTATGGCTTCCTTGTGTAGTGTTAAGCCATTGGTGGGGAAACAGTTCATGGTATCTCAAATTTACATCTGGAGCACAGCATATGTCAACTTTATCAAGAGCAGAAGGAAATAAGAGTCCAGAAAAGCTAGCAAAGTTATATTTGGGGAATGGTTGCTTATATAAAATCTACAAACTCCCATGAATACATCACATCATTTGCCCATGCTAAGGTATAAAATGTGATGCTATACGTACATTAAGTACAATAACTGCTGAGCGATGCTGAATCAACCATTGCTAACAAAGGTATCTTTTTTCTTTTGTTAGGTGTTCTGTACTCTATGTATACTGATTACGTCAGCCAGACCAGCAGTAAGCCGAAATAATGATCAGCATCATAGAGGGAGAGCAAGTCATTCCAAGCATACTACTACAATTTTGGGGAAACTTTGTTTAATAAAAACAGATGCTATACGCTCAGATCAAGTGCTAGACTTATACTTGAGAGGGCTACCCAACCTTGGAGCTCTTTAAGGGTTCTAATCCAGATGAGAGTGTTCAAGGTTATTTCAGTCTTTTGAGAAGCCTGTTATCAATACATTAACCCTGATATGAAGCTACCTTATACTGAGTCAGACCATTGTTCTACCTAGTCTAGTAATCTGTTCTGGTGAGCAACAGCTCTTCAAGATATGAGGCAGGTATTTCTCTGATACCTAAATTGTGTTCTTTTTTAAATTAAACTGAGGATGCCAGGGATTGAACCTAAGACCTGCTGCCTGGAATACACCTGGCTCTACCACTGAATTGTCAGCCTTTCTTAAAATCCCCTTCAGCTCAGAAAAACAACAGAATGAGCCCCACCAGACATTTTATATATGTAAAAATGCACCTATCTTTCTCACCCCTTTCCAGTTCAGTTCCTGAAGCAGGGTAGAACTGAGCATTAAGAATGCTCATATGTGCTGTTTCGTTCGCGTGTTTCAAACACTTCTCTAGCAGGACACACAATATTTTTTTTAATCAAAGTTTTTTTAAAAAAACTTTAGGACAGAAGACCCAGATAGTCAGTATCAACCAAGGAGATTAGACGTTAGAAAGCTGAAATGTTTATTTAAAAATCTGAACCTTCATTGAAACAAAATCAAATCGTACATTTAAAATAAATTAGTGCCATTTTTTAAAAAAAAAAATCATAAAAATGTAAGGGAGAATGGGATTTGTAACAGAGCACTGATTGCAAATATATTATTTTTAACCAATCCGACCACCAAAGAGCAATTGGGCCGAATGTGTCGCAGAAGAATTTCAGATATTCAGTAAAGTTCTTACAGCAGTGGAGCTCCCCCGGAAGCACCCTTGCCCCGTTCAGGTCAGTTCAAATGTAACAATTCCTCTCCAGGTTGAAGTGGTGAAAAAGAAAAGGCTCTGCAAGACTGAAGCAGAAGCCAGCTGTGTTTGGTGCTGATTGCCACCCCCCCTCCCCCTGATGCCACCAAGTAAACTCCCACCCCTCATTCCCAGAGCAGCTTTACATTTTAACATGGTTTCCATTAGAAGAGAAGGTAAGGTGAGATGAATCAATGGATAAATATATTAACATTCAAGCAGCACTTTTCAAAGACAGCTTTGAGAAGATTTACTTGGGGCGAATCTGTCTCCACCCTACATCTATTTGGTGATCAGTTCCAAGCTCAAACATTGAAATACTGAATATTCGGAATGAACACAAAATGCTGCTATCCTAAATTATTGTTGCTATTGGGAATGAACACCTTTGCAATCAATGGTTTCCAAGTAACTGTATTTAGGGTTCGGGTATTGGGACATGCATTTTTTTTATCAATTGGTTGTTGCACTAAATGGCAATTGCTCTGAGAAAAACCCTATTTGTATTTCAGAGTTCCCAGAAACTGTAGTTCTCTGGATGCATTTAGAGATCTCCAATAAACAAAAACAAAAAACATCAGCACCTTCTCAAAGTGACACTGTCAGTGTTATTTGGGGCAGACTATGGATGTTAATCTGGCCTTAAACTCTTTGAAATGTGTAGTGTAGGTATGTTCTTAAGATACAAACGTATGACTAAGCCTTCTCTTTGGTCCTACTGTTGTGTACTTTCTCATACAGTTTTGTGGTAATATGGGACACATGCAGCTCAATTAGAAAGAAAAAGAAAATCTAGAGTGATAGACAGTGCCATCTTGAGCAGCGTTAAGACCACCGAAGTCAATGGCCAAGGATGGCACTGTTAGTTTTGAAAGAAAACAAGACAACATGATGGTACTGGATTAGATTTGTGGCAAACTTCAACTTGCATTGAAAATTAATATGGGCAAACATTCACTGCAAGCAACGGGGTTTTTTTTTAAAAAGAATCAGTAATTGCTAGTGCTATGGTCTTATAATGCTCTAACAATATATTGCCACAGTTACTGGTTCATGTGAATTCCTAGGTTGTTGTTTTTTTTTTAAATTGGGTCAGTGTCTAGTTCTTTTCATTGTAAAGATACAAGGGGGAAAGTGCACCCCTTCTATCTCTTTAACAAAAAGGACTAGAGAGTTTTTTAAAAATGACAGGAATTTACAGGAACTAGTAAACCAAAGCAAAAGATACTTATAATGGTATACCAATGTAGCAATTACTGATTTTTTTAAACAAAAGCCCCTAATAGCCCTCCAGTGACATGAGAGGGGGCAGAACACCAACCATGGTCAGCCAAAGCAAGGAAAGTTCACCATACTTTCTCTGTGGTCACTGTTGCTGCAGCAAATGCCTCTGCATTCACAGCAGTGACGACAGCTACACAGCAAATTGCTGCAGGGTGGATATGAGGCAGGTGGAAGCAGTCTTAAAGATCTGCACTTGCGCTCTTGTGCAACTTGTAGTCATCTCAGTGGGACTTGTGATGAAATTGTTCCTGATGGATTGTAAACATTAGGGTCTCTCATATTACTTTACATTTCTGATTTTTCTTTTGTACAAACAGATTTCCTTCCATAGGATACTTTTTAAAAAATCAAATATCAATAGGATAGTCTCCATTTCTGGATGGTTTCCAGAAATCTGGGGGTAAGATGAGCTGCCCTACCATTTCTACTTCAGACACACAGGTAACAGTCTGTATAAAATAGAAGCCCAGTCTTCAGCTGAGAAACATTTAAGTACCCCAAATAAATTACATTTTTTTAAAAAAGGGGAAAAATTCAAAACCTTGTATCTAAACCCAAGGTACAGACTTTGGTTGGAAGAACATGAGATGGAGGCCATCCCATGTCTTCAAATGTGAGAATGCCTCTAAACACCTGTAGAGCGAAGGGGAACTTCAAGTGAAAACGCAGAAGACATAAAGGGAATGCAAAACCTACTTTTGGTTCCCCTCTCTCTCCCTTCAGCCCCTTCCAGTCACAGTCAGGGTCTGAGATTGGAAATAAGCCCAATGGGAGAAAACCAGTTGGAGGAGGGAGGGAAGATTGACAGTGGGGGAAGGGTTAATCACTTCCCTCCAGCCTATCATTTTTCTGCTTCTAACTGTACCCACCCCCAAGCTTTCCAGGCGACATTTAAAAAGACATGGGTCTGCTGTATCGTCCCACCCTCTCATGGTGCATCATGTGCTCTTCATACACAATATCAGAAGTTCATTCATAATCTTCCCAATTAAACTTGGGTGCAACCTCTAAGGAAGACCACTGTCCAGAAACCCTGGAATCCCCTCTGCACAATTTCTATTCCTCTCACCAGAGAAAAGTTCAGGTGCCTTCACAGTCCTCGAATACACGTTTCTTTCTGAACCAATTAAAACTTGGTTCTGTGCAGCATTGAAGGACTTCTTTGGAAAACAAAACACTGTTTCTTACTACTGCGATTCAGAGGGATTCATCTACTCATGACTGGTTCAGCATCGATATTGTTGAGAAGGAAGAGTTCAGGTTGAGCAGTGAGTCCCAGGTGATACTAGAGAAGGCAAAGAAGAAGGCATTGATTAGGAACACTCTTTAGGAAGCTGGAACTAAGAGGGAGTAGAAATCACCAGGCTGGTGTTGAAAGAGATGCAAGTTCCTTTCCCAGCTCTTGGCTGGTCCAGAAGGCAGGTTCACTATTAATCTGGCAGGTTCACTATTAATCTTTTCAGTGCAATTCTGGCTCCTCAGACCCAAGCTAGGGGACAGTGGTAAAGTCAACATGGCAGTGTATCCTTTTAATGGCTTTTGCACCTCTTGGATGCACCTCTTCATTGGATGCTTTAGCCCTGTATGTCAGTGTTCTGTTCTTGCGCAGCAGGAACAGAACACTGTTTGGGGAGCACAATAGCCATCTCATGTGCCAAGGGCAACACATGGATTTTCTCTGCAGGCCCAGCTTCGATTTACGTGAACCTTGTGTGAAAGGAAGTTGTACCAGCATGAAAAATCCCCATGTCACCCTCTTCAGGCAATACGGTGATTGCACATACTTCATTCACAGAATGTATGGCTCATGGGCTCTCACTCCATGCAAACAGAACACCTGTGTAACCTCTGCATATGGCTTGTACAAGCCACATCTCTATACAAACAAATTCCAGCGGGGTCTAGCTGTGTTACTCTATTGCAGCAAGAACCTGAAACAAAATAACAGTCTTACAAGACTTTAAAGACTAATATATATTACGGCATAAGCTTTTTTGAAAGCTAGAGTTCAATCTGATGCATTAAGTGGTCACCTTTTGGAGCATGAATGCCCTGAGAAAAGGGGGGGGGGGCTAAGCAATGCAAGGCCAAGAAGCAGGTGTGTCACAGCAGAAGGCAGTTCATCCAGTCAAATGAATTCAAGATACAATCAGCATAGGTGTGACCTATTTTCCTAATGACTGCTGCTGATCTGCAGGCCTAGCAAAATCAGGGACCTAAACAATCACCTAAAAAGGATCAATTAATTTCTGGACTGAACCAGCCATTCCCAAGCTCTGCTGAAACCAAGTTCCACAATGCTATATCTCTCCTTATATATAATTGAGTAGTGGGGTGGCACTTTCTGATTATTCCACATGCCCCTAAATCAGTTGGCTCCATGATGTGTCCCTCAGAAGCTGTCCCTATTATCCACTGGCTGCATTGCCTAAGTCTCGCCCACAGAAGTGGCACCCGCCAAAACTTTCCTCCGAAGACGGTTGCTTTGCTCCGGTGAACACAGCTACTGTCTTCGCTCTCCTTGCCAGATGATGATTGATTCCCTCAGGGGACAAAACCCACCGTCTTTAGCCTCCAAGCCAAGTTTGCTGAGGCAACACTTTCCACAATGGGGAAAAAACTGCCAAGTAAAGAGCTGTCAGCGTAGCGGGGGTGGGGAATCAGCCCAAGTTATCACAAAAAAGCCAGTGGATACACACACAAGCAGAGATAGAGGATGGGACCAGACACACAGAAAACAGGCAGCCAAAAACCCGAGGCATGCTGCAAAGCACAAATACAGACACAGTCACAGGCAAATCTATGTTTGCAGCCTGCCCAATTGCAGAAATTACTCCACAGAGCCCTGGTTGCTGCATTTTCTGGCCCATATTGTGCGACCTTGGACACCAGTTATTGTGTAACATAAGGTATGTGAGACTTTACTTCCACATTTGTGCCTTTCTATTACATACTGCTAATATGTATGGTACACTAGAGAGCCAGTTTGGTGTAGTGGTTAAGTGTGTGGACTCTAATCTGGGAGAACCGGGTTTGATTCACCACTTGCTAGGGTTGCCAAGTTGCGGCGGGGGATCGTAGGTCTTCACAGAATCCTTGCCGCGGGGACAGCGAGACGTGTTGCACCTGATGTTGCCAGGATCTGATGCTACGCGTCGCTCTGGCAACGGGGCTCCAAACAGCCCCGTTGCCAGAGCGACGCACAGCATCATGTCCTGGCGACAGTGGTGTAACACATCTCGCCGTCCCTGCGGCAAGGATTCTGCAAAGACATGCAGATCCCCCCCCCCGCGATTTGGCAAGATTTGGCAGGCCTACCACTTGCACCTGGCTGGATGACCTTGGACAACCCTTAGTTCTGGCACAGCTGTTCTTGAAAAAAGAGCAGTTTCTGCCAGAGCTCTCTCAGCCCCACCTACCTCACAGAGTGTCTGTTGTGGGGATGGGGAGGGGAAGGGAAAGGAGTTTGTAAGCCGCTCTGAGACACCTTTGGGTAGTGAAGGGCGGGGTATAAATCCAATCTCTTCTCTTCTTCTATGTACTTAACCTGTTTCCAGCCAATGCATTCGTTACACATCTTTCTAAAGCTTGTTGTATTGCTTGTACAACGGGATTTACTGCTAGTTTGTTAACAAATCCCATCTCAGAAACTTTACACTGGAGTCTCCCTTTGAAATGTCTTTGGCTTTTTTGTTGGAATGTTCAGCTCTGTCATGTCGAAAGTTCACTGCTCCCTCACTAGTTTCAAGTGTTATTATTTTAACGTGTGTTCCATTTTGTGATTCCATTTGGTGGCCCATGGGTGCTGGGAACTCGCTTCTTTAGCTTGGGGGGAGGGTTTGTCCGTAAGCACGCACAGGTTTCCTTTGAGACTGAAGGATTATTTTCAAATATGGATCCTTGATGGTGCACTAGAGAGGTTTTGGTAGACTGATGTGGGCAAGTGGTGTCCTCTTCTTTTTATTGCAAGGCCTAAATGATGCTGCTTGCTTGCTTAGTTATACTGTAGTGATGGTGCTTGCTTGCTTAGTTATACTGTAGTGAACCTGTTGCACAGAATGGCCCAGGTGTAGCTTTATGGGAAAGCAGAAATCATTAAGAACATGGTGGAGTTTCTCAAGAGCATTGTTTCCTTGGCTCCCGATGTCAAAAATGTCATCGATGTATCTTTGGTAATGGACAGTGTTTCTGGGCAAGAAAGTGAGAAAGCACGGTTCTCCGTCAGCTATAAAGGAGTTTGGCATGTACAGTTTGTTTACACCATTGATCTTACTCTGCCTACAGTATTACCAAGAGCTGCTATCTGGGAAAAGAGTACACCCTCCCATTTGGTTGCTGTGCATTCATTTGCAGGACCTTTAATTCAGCTGAACTGATAAAATACTCGGTTGAGCACAAGTGCTCACCTGAAATAACAGAGAAGGTAGCTACGTTTTTACAATCAGCTATAAAGCTGTGCCAGGAAAAACTACAGAAGCAATCAGCGATATTTTGTAATATGATGTATTTTATAACATTACGTATTTTGCAATATGGTTCCCCTTTTTTTACTCTTCTCTACGTATATTATTGTTTATGGCAGTGTTATATGCCAATAAAGGCTAACTGACTGACTGACAAATAGTGTAACACTACCACCTTTTGCATTATTCAGGTATCAGTTTGTAAACAAAAAACCCTCCCCTCCTTTCCATTAGGTTGCATAGGTGACCACGTTGGGCCTGTCTCCTAAAACTTTCCACCGCAATACATTTCGTTAAATCTTTAAAGATACTATAAGACTCTTCATTGTTTCCATCATGCTGTTGTCCTGTTCTGCAAGAAACCCATCCTGGGTCAAGTGGTGTTAAGATGCTACAGCCAAACACTGAGGATTCCTGTGATTCACAGCCAGAGGAACAGCAACAGGAACGGAGACTACCAACATCACTTCCTAGATTACTCCTAGAAAGGTGGCCGGGTTTATGGAAGCCTTATGCTGTGCTTTTAAGATGTGTGAATTTCAAAAGAACACTGCTTTGGAGAGATGCAGGCCATGGCTTCTGGGAAACAGAAACACATTACCCTTTGTACGAAGGTAATTTTCGCCAATTCTCCCCCCCCCCTCAGTGCAGTTCCTCCAGCTGTTTTGTAGGATTCCCTGTCCTCTAGAAGCAGCATTTCAGACTACAGCAGAAGAAAAAGGCAAGAATGCCTCACTATCATTACTTCTGTCAGTGGACTGTACCACTGGCTCCAACCCTGCATCTGCATTCTCACAGGCTATTTGTCCTGAGTTTGATGCTGTTGTTTTCCCCCCCACCTTCTCCACAACATCATGAATATCTGTGTACCTCACAGGGTTTCCTTGGCTTTTCTCCAATCTACCCAAAACCTGCTTTGGTGTGAACAGCTGCCATATAGATGGGAAAGTTTGGATTTTCCCAGTCTCACCCACGTGCCAGCCATTTCCCTTGCCCCTGTTCCCTCAGTGGCCATTTCCTCACCCCACCCCACGGGGGGGTTTCTTTTTTTTTTAGTCACCAATTCTATATTCTCACAATATTATATGAATCTGCATATCAGATTTTCTAAACGCCCCACTTTCATTTTTTAAAAAGTCTCTAGTCCCTTTTGGTGCCTAGATATAAAGGGAAAGGCAAGGGATATAATGGTGCTTAATTACCAATGGTGGCATTGGGGGTGGGGAGAAATTGCTAATGGAGGGGACCCGGGGCAGGGATATCTGCCATGTGGGAGCTTCACTGCCAGTTTGGTGTAGTGGTTAAAAGTGGCAGACTCTAATCTGGAGAACCAGGTTTGATTCCCTCCTCCACATGAAGCCAGCTGAGTGGCCTTGGGCCAGTCACAGTTCTTTCCTAAAAACAAGTCTAGCTTGCCACTAGCACAATGCTAAGATCTAGAACCTGTGGCTGCCAGACAATCCTAGGATCTCCTGGCTATTCTATACATAATGCCATATGATAATTTGTATTGGCAGCTGCAGCATCAACTGGGAAACTACACTAGCCTGTCTCTGTGTGGAAAACACCTGAAAAACAACCCAAGTTTTCTGGGAACCAAAAGTAGTTCTTTTGGTTTTAAAATGTTTGTTTGGTATCTAAACTGCCCAACATGCACTGGATTGAGCTAATCATTTAATGTTTGTTTTAAAAACCCACACATATGTTGATCGGAAGTCCATTGGCAGCTGATCTTTTTAAATAAACATTTCACGTTAATTTGCACAGAAGAAAATTGGCAGGGGTGTCGAACTCATTTGTTATGAGGGCTGGGTCTGAAATA